CAACAGGCTGTTATATGCCTGTGTAACAAGAGCAGCAACTGTTTGGGGGTGGAGTGGCTTCAGCTGGTACCTCAGGGTGAGCCTGGTGTGTGGCATGTGGGCAGGAGTTGCCCAAGCCAGATGCTGCTGCCAGCCTCTGGAACGGAGCATTGCCGAGCCCCCAGAGGAGGGGTCATCCTGTCACTGTCCCACACGGTGGAAGAAGAGGTTGATGTGTCTGGGAGAGAGGGGATGGGGTCTTCTGAGTCCTGGTAGGCTCTGTAGCTTTGTGTCTAGGAGGTTGGCCTCCCTGCAGCAGCTAGAAGCTGGTCCTGCTTGGAGATGCCTGAGGGCAGAACTGTCCCTCCAGTGGCACCTTGTCTCCCCTGGCATGCAGGGAGTCAGATCCAGCACGGATCCAGCCCCCCACTGCAGGAGATGTGGGCATGTGCTGGCGTTGCCCATTACCTCTCAGCACAGTCACACTCTCCCTGTGGACCAGGGGACTGGCCAACAAATGATCTCCCCCTGCGTGGGTGGCAGTGGGACAGCTGGCTCCCCTGTGATGGCAATCTTCCCAGGGGGCTGTGCCAGGCAGGAGCTCCTTGCTCTGAGATGGCAGTGAGGGCAGAGTTAAGGCTATGGGGAGCATGCTCGTGCTCACTTCCCAGCTTCCAGACCGTCTGGAAGGTGGGAGGCAGACGTTTTTTACCCAAGCAGGTAAACCTCTGTCTCCCCTCACCGAGCTCCTTCTGACCTCTGATCTGAGCTCCAGCTAGGCTCCTTCAGCCAGTGGTGCTGATCTGGGGCGAGTGCCCTTGAGAGGGGCTCCCCTTCCTCACGGCCTTACTCCTGTGCCAGCACCATACAGATGATGCTTTCTGACCTTTCATTTTTCTGTGTGTGTACGTGTGTGTGTTTGTCCTTGGGTCGCCTTCCACTTATAGCATTTCGTTTGGAAATGACACTAGGTATTTCATGCGCACCCACTCGGTCTGGTCCCTCCTGCTTTTCTCTTTCTCCTTTGCCTCCCCCCTTTGCTTTTTGCTCTTTCCCCCATCCCTGGAGGCTCCTCTTCTCCTCCTCCTCCCTGGGGAGCACTCTCTTCTCAAGTGACCTGTGTCTGCAAAGCGATCCTTTGCCTTGGCTCTGTCATGGTTTTAATGTATTTTATACACCTTCTGAAAGCGTCACTCCCTCTTCTTCCAGTGTGGGGGCAATCACAGCCAAGAGCCTCTCCCTGCTCTGTCTGGCCACGCTGGCTCTTGTTAAAAGAGCCACTCAGACGCCTGGGTGCTGCTTCAGGCATGTGCCAAAGCATCCTTGTTGAGGTGTCACTGAGCCATGGCTTCCTGAGGATGCTCAGGCAGGAGTCGGGGCTGCAGCAGCTCCGGGTGGCTTTGGAGAGTGTGTGTCCTATAACCCCAAGGCTGGCCTGGGAAGGAGCCCAGGAGCAGGACAGGGCATGAAATGGGGATCCCTCAGGAGCCACCTCCTGCTTCCCCCATCCTCAGTTGCTTAACCCAAAGAGGGCAGCTGCCACTCTTGCTCTGAGTGGGTGCACTGGCCTGTACAGGACCCCGTAAGCACCAGGTGAGTGGGGCCAGGTGTCCCCCACTCCTTCTCCCAGCCTGGGAGCCATGGAAAACACAGCGAGGGGAGTGAGGCAGCCTGGTGGGAATGGGACTGGCAATCGGATCAGAGCAAGAGCTGGGGGAGACAGACTGACAGGGGCCAGCCACCTAAATCATGGTGGTCCTCAGGTCCCACTGGGTCTCGGGGCTGACAGACGAGGGCAGCCCTGTGGGAGGGGACCTGGCTTACAGGGGGACTGCTCTCCCAGGGGCGGGCTGGCAGCAACCCCCCCCTGGTGCTGAGCATCCTCCCTCCTTTTCCTTCTGGCCATCAGCACCCAAACAGCACCATCCAGTCCTGGCAGGGTCCAGGGTGTGCTGTGTGCCCTAGGCTGGAAGGTGGGGACCTGGCCCAGGTGTGCTGAGGGTGGTAGCCCCCCACTCTGAGCACAGGGGTGGGGCATGCCTTCTCTTTTGCCTTCCCAGCCTGACCTGCCTTGCCTGCACCCCAGCTGAGCACCTACTCCTCCTGCAGTCCCTCCTTCCCAAAGCCCTGGTCTGTTGGCCATTTTGAGGGTGCCATGTTCCCCTCCCTTTGCCTTGAGCCTGTGTCCTCTGGAGTGGCTGTCCCCATCTGTCCCCGACGCGTATGCATGTCCGTGTGTCCTTGCAGGCCTGCCACAGTGCTGCAGGAGTGTGACAATGGGACCTTCTCGATCACTCGCCTGGGGTTCTGGGGGGGTGGTTTAATCAGCTCTGCTGTCTTTTTTGGCAGGACTTTCTACCAGTTTGAGACGGCGTGGGATAGTTCCATGCACAACTCGCTGCTGCTCAATCGTGTCACCCCGTACCGGGAGAAAATCTACATCACCCTTTCTGCCTACATCGAGGCAAGGACCTTAGTTGGGGCCATTAAAAACACCAACAAAGTCTGGCATTTTTCCCCGCTGTTGGGGTGCAGCCAGCACAAACCCCTCCTTAGCATCAATGCTAATGGGGTGCAGTGTTCAACTTGATGCTTGGTGGCCCTGTGGGACCCCAGGAGCAGAAACTGCAGGGCACCAGGGGTGGGAGAGACCCACTGGGTTGCCCCTGCAGCCCCCCCTAATGCCTCCCCTCCTGCCATGCTGCAGATGGAGAACTGCACTCAGCCTGCTGTCATCACCAAAGACTTCTGCATGGTTTTCTACTCCCGGGACGCCAAGCTTCCTGCTTCCCGCTCCATTCGCAACCTCTT